CAATTTTTGAAATTCATCCGAAAAAAAACTTCTAACGGTGAAACTCTGAAAAATAAATATTTCAAAGTTCTACATTCTAAGATAAAGAATCTACGTCAAATCACGTGAATTATATACGTACCGAAAATTGTTGCCATCAAATTGCAATTTTGTCAATAATCACATCCACTAGAAAATGATGTTCCTCCAATTTCCGCATAAGGCCCAATCATCCCTTGCAGCATTATTCCACCTCAAAGTTTCAAAGTTTCACCCCCTGCTCACGAAGCCGCGAATGAATTAATTTAATTACCTGTTCGGTTATTTAATTACAGCTATTTTTATGTACGGTTGAATATATCTTAAAATAATGGATGTTTTATCTTAAAAAGAAAAAAAAATCGTATAGAATATTTGTATTATTCAATTACAATATCTATTACGATTGAATAATACATAGCAGATAGTGATAATGTTTAAATATAATGGTAATATATTATATTGTATCAAATGAGATATATACAATATAAACGAAGGATCACATGATACAAAATATATTCGTCCAATACTATTTATTAAAATCATGTAATGTCAAGGAAATTGATTGCAAAAAATGATGGATCACATGATAACAAAATATATTCGTTCAACACTATGCGATAAAATTACGTAATATCAAGGAAATAACACTTAACAATAACATTTTTGATATAATTGTGGAAATGTGGATATAAATGTACCAGCTTTCATGGTTCTATGAAAATCAGCTGTAATGCATTGTGTATTACAATGGTTTAATAAAAGTTATGAAATACAAAAATAACATATAGTACTAGATAGTGATAATATGTAATATTAAATGAGTATTATATCACATTATTAAATGAGCAACATAAAATTATATGGTCAGAGAAAAAATGGAATTCACTATATGACTTATGTGATTGAAATTCTACGCTCGTTACGTTTTCAATTCCATATCAGATTTAAAAATGGTAATGCTTATTAATAAATCAGAAAAGCATATACAAGAAAAAAATTTTTCCCAATCAACTTATGAAGGCTTTTGTCAAATAAAGGCCAAAGTGAAAGATACCGCCTGATAAACATTTAACTATAGTGATCATTCAGTTTGGCATATACCACTACATAGGAATTTCTTCAATGTCAACGTTTTCCGATTAAACAAAAGATGTTTCATAAACCGAAAATGTTTAAACTTACGTGACTACAGAGTATTTCATAGTATGGGTCATGTAACATTGAAATACTATGTTCGTTAAGCAACCAGAAAAGGGAAAAGAGTTACAAATATTGATTCGAGTAGTAAACACAATATTAAAATTAATAGCTGTTGTAATAATTTAATGACCTTGGGTCAATCATAAGTGGCATGACTAAATTAACAATAATAAATAACAAGTATTTTTAAAACATTAGTCAAATAGCAGAGAGAAACGATTTCAGAAGTAAAGAAAGGTCAAAAAATGATCTAGATTTCTTTGTTTTATAATTTTGCTTTGAACTCATAAATGTCTATTAATCTTTCGAGAAAAATAAGAAAGTCGAAAGTCCTGGGAAGTAATTTCCAAAATTTCAGAGAGAGAGAGAAGTTTAAGTAGCAAAAATGGGTACTGATTATCCAATCTGTAAATTCAAGCGAAATAATTTAACAAACTATGACATTCTATCACAAAGTCTTCTTACGGTTGCATATAACATACACCAAATAGTCAACTGAGATGCCTCATTAGATAATAAACAAAAGTCTTTCTGAAGCTGAAAGTTAGATATATTCATCAAGCAAATAATGATGGCTGATGAATATGATCAGCAATCCGACAATATGTCATAAAGTTCGAAAATGTCTGGATCGCCGTGCTGTAGGCATCCTGAAAGCATAGTTATTTCAGTAAGTTAATGCATAACATTTAAAAAAATGATTTGTGACAATAATTTCCAAAAAGGAATTCTGATGTTCTTTCCTACTAATTACTGAAATTTAGAAACTTTTATATTGTTTACTGAAGACGCGCTTTTAATTGCCTGATCATTAATAAATGTGCTAAACTTAATATCTCCATGGCTAATAACGACAACAAGCTTTGGAACATACTTCAGCACCGCGATAATCGAGTACTGCCACAGCAGACACTATTGGCCATTTACTTACTGCTTTACTTAAATCGCGTTTCGAAGATGTCCAGAGGATATCAATGTGTTTAGATGAGCAGATTTCCTTAATTATATCGATATCAGTAGTAAGATCGACTGAAAACAAGCATTCAATTCGCTTTATATTAGGAAATTATGAGAAATAAAACATCACAGTCACTCAGATGTTTATTTGTCAATTCACATCGATAAGATTTTGTGTAATAAATTAAATATCAAAATATGGAAAAAAAAAATATTAAATTTGATTTCCACGGCAAGTGAAGTGAAAATCTGATGGACTTCAATATATGTAATTTAACTAAATTTCTCGAACTATTCCAATTTTTGCTCAATTGAATTAACTAAGGTGTTTTACTAGTATCGGAATTCAAAAAAATCCTGCTTTTATCTGTTTCGATATCGTTGGCCAATATAACGCAACACACTGTTTCTAGAGATAAGTGTTTTCGCACCTCTCTTAAACCACAGACCAATCGACGCTTTGATTTTGCCTGAAAATTTTGATACACTTATCAGTCAGTACAATCTTTTTTATAAATTGAAAAAAAAAATTTTCTTCAAAAATTTTTTGTTTTATGAGAAAACCTTTTTCTGTTTGAATTCAGTTTCTTATTTTTACAATCTCATTACGTTTATGTTTGCATATAATACACATACATTATTAATATTGAACTGTTCAAAAAAATACTATTGCACTTGCTAAGAGGAGAAATTATCTAAAATAAATATAACTTAATCCATATTGTTATTTTTGTATAAATAAATGCGTTCTCATTAAGATGAAAGAAATATTGGTTGAGCCGTATATATTGAACAATTAAAAGAACAAGTAATGAAGAAAAGATGAAAAACTATACAAAAAATCTTAAAAAAGAAAAAATGTATCTTTAAATGGCAAAGTTCAAAATAATTAAACCTTAATTGGGTTTTTTTTCCATGCACGATCTTGAAATTTTTTCACTTTTTTCAAAAATTCTATAATGGCTACATCAGCATCCTTTGCGGTTGAAGTGAGGGAATGAAATCTTCCGTCAATCTTTTTTATCTGCAAAATCTGTCTTGAAAACAATAATTAAATCAAACATTAATCAGTGTCAATTCCTGGTGCACAAGCACCTATATATTTCTCTCTTAGAAAAAATTTTTCAAAACTTTAAATTCCTTTTTTCCAGACTTTCAATATGGACTAGTTTTCTTGCAAAAAAAAAAAAAAAAAAATTAATCTCTGGTTATTTTCTGAAGTTTAAAAGAAATCGATAATACAATAACAGAGCAATTATGCAAACCGATAGAGTAAGAAATTATTGAGCATAAATTAAATGGAACAGTATAACAATCACTCGGCTTCAATAAGCTTATTTCTGGAAGAAGATGCGTGAGCTGTCCGCATGCAGCTTTATTAACATACACACTGAAATGATATGCGAGATCAACACTTTCCAAAAAGTAATGTTCAGTGCCATTAGGTATGTAGCTTTTTAGCACAAATCTATCCCAAACACTCAAATTTTCTGGAATAATTTTAAAAAACTATGGAAATTTTAAAATAACCAACAAAAATGTGCAGAAATGAGACATTCATAGCATTTCATGCATTGTTTCGCATCGCCTGTAAATTTGCGTAGTTATGCAAAGATTACGAAAATTCTTGGTCTCAAAAATAGGTGGTAATATATATTTGATGAAGGTTTTTATTTCATTTGTTTTAATTTTTGAAATTTGGAAATTAATATTTAATCACTTTTCTTAAATTTGTTTTTTTTTGGTTTTAAAATTGTTTCAAAGGCTGTTTTTTTGATTTTTATTCCAGACATAAAATATTTGATTCAAGTTTCTTAATCTTAATTAAACATACCATAAGACTGAAAATGAAATCGCGAATGGCTGAATTTAAAAGAAATTATGATATTTTGCCACCAATTATATCGAACTAAGAAATGCTGACGTCATATCATAATTCATGCATTAATTCAATTCCAGTGAGACTGTCCAATTATTACTTGATTTAAAGTTTATGCAGCAGAAAAGCTAAGTTAAACAACAACAGATATCATTATTTATAAAATTAAATAATGCTAAATTATCGATAATTTAATATTAAACTCTCTTCATTAAATTTTTAAAAATTTTTTCAATTTTCTAACGTGAAGTTTTTTTACATTTCAAAATGCGATTCAAAAAAATACATAGATTGCTTAATTTTTTGCACTTTAACTTTCACATGCTTTTTTACTTATTTCTTTGCATATATTTTACATTTCATCCATTTTCCTATATTATCCGATGTTTTTCGTCCATTTTCCCATATACGATGAATACATCGGACCTCATACCGATCTTATCAAAAATGTAATTTTGCAAAAACTTCAAATAGATTTTTATGGCATAAATAATGGAAAATGTTTAGCCAACTATTAGCCACATAGTTGACAACAGCAAATGAAAAAGGAGATTGATAAAATATTTGAAAATAGCACATTGAAGCGAAACAAATGGTTATTATTGAAAGGTATCAAAGCAGTGAATGTTTCTTTATCTATCATCTTCTTATCGTCGTTTTTCATCGGAAAGTTAGCAGAATATATTTGGATCAAAATTGCAAACTATTGAAAGCTAATTATCAGTGAAATGATTACAAATGAGAAATTACTGTAATCGAAAAAAACAAAATTAATAATGAACAGAATGTCGATTGGATGGATTAAAGTGACATATGAAAATTTGTACGAAAAATGAATACAATATAAAGTTCTATCGAATTATAAATCAATATTTTTCATTTAGTTTCATCAATTATCTCTTCTTATCATGATAATTCCCAATATCGGATATACAAATAGTCAAATATACCAGGATAAATTCCTTTTTCACTCATTCATTTCAACATTCGTGTTCTCTTATACGTGTTTGCTTGCAGCTATCATCAAATCAACTGCTAATCATTTCCTCTTTTGATATTTGAATTGTTCTGATAAAATTCCCAAACAATAAAATAAATCATAATAAATAATTTTGCCTGTGAATCAACATCAACCAATCTACAACAATTGCAGGTTGCATTATGGCAAATTTTAAACCATTATAATTTTCGTGTTGCAAAAGTTTTGTTACCGAAACATTATCATTGCTATTGCAATTTAAATAAGGCTGTATGTAATGGCATATTATTAATTCTAATTTCCCAATTCATGAAAATGGTACAATTACAAGAAATTCAACAAATTTTTCCTTCGCACTCCTCAATTTCGAGGATATTGACGAAATGAAGCAGAATGAAATGAAAATGTGTAAAAATGTTGCCAATGTATTGCATAAATTATTTTTCACAGTACAATACAATAGTTGAAATGAAATTATGCGGGAATGAATATTAAACAGCAATTGTTAGCATTTTATCGTTACACGTGGATTATTAATACAGGTAGTTTGTCACTTTCATTCGTATAAGCGAAAAATGACTTTATTGACGGTAAATGTGAGACTGTTTTCTTTTCGTGTTAATATATTTGAAAATACATTTGTTTGGAAGAAATTTGTTTTTTAAATCAAAATAAAAGCAAGAAAATAAGAGATTTATTAACGCATCCCAAATGTTTGTGCTTCGCCTAATACTTAAGCTTTATTACTTGACCTTTAGAGAATTTTTGCAGCATTTGTGTATATATATATATATATTACTCGTCACAAGTCTAATTTACCAATTCGTCGGAAAAGAACAAAGCTAACAAGTATTTGAATTGCCAGCGTTAAATATTGAATGCAAAAATGCTAAAATTAATTATTAGCTGTTTAACTTAATCGAAGGATTATATGCAACAAGCTTGTAATTTTCTATTGTTTATGGTATAATATATCTACGATTTCTACGAAGTTAAGTTTTCATTTAAAATAAGGAATACTAAATATCACAAAAGTTGAGTATATTACAAAGAAGTAGCATAGATAAGTAGCTCTCTTATCATTTAACAATGTGAAAATATTATCAGGTCCGATAGGACACGAACTTGATTTCTTTTTGCATAATAATATTACTTGTTTTTGATCATTCAGATGACGATTACAAAAAATTATTGTGCATGAAGTAAAGCTTGGAAATCAAACTGATAAATTATCCTTAAATATTATCTAATTTACAAATTAGCAATTTTATTTATCAAATTTACCATTTAATTTCATAGTTGTTTCCATTATCATTCTTTATTTACTGCTGAGTTATTTTTAATGATCCTTTATGCTTACAACTTAAGTTTTTCGTATTAACGAAGTTTCTTTATTTGAACTTTCGTCTAGTTTTGATGTAGCATGAGAATCCGTTTCGGGAATTTGTTTACCAGCTTTTAATTCATCTTTTTGGCTTTCTTCCGATTTCCCAGAACTTTGTATTTTCGAACTTTCCGCTGATCTATAAATCATTTTATCCTCTGCACTTGAAAAACATCCTTTGTTTTTCTTCTTTATAAGTTAATTCTATTTGCAGTCTATTAAATAAGCAAGTAGTATTGCTCACATATAAATATAAGATAATTTAAAAAAAAAAAAACAATACTTTAATTTTGCATTATTTATCTGCTTCGACAGTTCCTGTGTTTTCTCACTTTTGATGCTCGACTTCAATGACACTACTTGCGTATTGTTTATTTCAAACTTCTAAAATATTTAATTAAGCGTGTGAAATGAAATTTCATTAAGTTATTGTAAACTCTAATTGCTATTTTGATTTAGGTTAGGTGTAGAGCGAGAAAGGATAAAGAATGGAAACAATTAGATAATATGAAAAAAGAAAGTGATTCTGGTATTCAATTCCATCTTCTGGAAAATAGTAGTGAGAAGGGCAGATGAAAAGTAGAAATTCATTTTATTCCATTCTTCATTTTGCTTTCTATGCTAACACTGTAAAGTGTTAGTTATGAATTCGAATTTATAAATGAGATTTAGAAAGAATTTTATTACCTGATTGTCTTCTGTAGCTTTTTTTTCACCTGGAAAAAAAACATTTGGAAGAAGTCAAGAAGGGAGAATGATAGAAGTATTTTATATCACTATGAATACAATTTTCTTTTATGGTAGACTTTTTTCATCATCTCAATCTTCTACATTTAAATTGTTAAATTATAAAAAACGAAACTTGGTATTACAAATATGATTAAATTTTGGAATTCTTACTTTTAGAGGATTTGCTCGGTTGAATATTTCCGCGATCGAATTCGATCAATAAAGTTTTTTCAACACTTGGTTTCTTAAGCTTTTTTTTTTTTTTTTGAGATATTCACTATTATTATAATTCATTACTATGAATAAAATTTTGTCTCTGTGCTCTTACTCAACTTCATAAATTTGAGTTTAAGGAATGAAAAATTGTCTGAGAGGCATTAATTATAAAGTGCCATTAAAACTTGCTCATCTTTTGCTTTTTTGCCATCAAAATTTTTCGGAATTTTTTTTTTCCTAATATATCACGGTGAACTTTTCTTTTCGCAAATTTGCGACATTTTTTATTTTTCAAAAATTTGAAATATTTTTTCAACTTTTAATTTTACAAGTTTTTTTTTCTCTTCTAAAATATTAAAGCATACTGCATCCGGTGCATTTGATGGTGACGATGGTTTTTCATCTTGCTTCTCTACTAGCATATTTTGTAAACTCTGTAGTTTTATGCTCTGCAATTATTGAAGATTCCTACAATGAATAGATTAAAAAATTTTTTCAATTCTTCGAAATAGATAAAAGCAGCATTTAGTTCATTTGTAAGCAATAATGAAAATATCTGGAATGCAACGATGTTAATATTCTCATGAAATTTTTTTTTTTTAGAATTAGAAGCTTTGAAAGTTTATATGATAGATAGCATTATTTAACGATGTTGACAACAAATTAGATCAATTCTTCACATTCCGCATCTCTTCTAACTGCCGTCTTTACGTTACTCTAACGCTTTTTGATTGCTGTAGGTTTTCCCGAAGATTGCTAGTAGTAATCCCAACAAGAACTTTTTTAGACGTTCATTTTTAGACAAATTCTTTAAATGGAATAGAAATGTCAAAAATAGAAGAAGCAAACTTACATCAATTCTTGTATCAACTGAAAATAAAAGATAACTGTATTTAGTGAGTTTTGAAACAGAAAAGAAATGTATGAAGTCAATCAAAATGAAATGAAATAAGAATTACTAATTACTTCAACAATTTGTGAAACGAATCATTGAAGATCAATGTATGACTCACAAGTATTATTACTTTCTAGGCGGAATAATCCAAGTATTGGTAATGTTGGGAAATTTCATCAAATTACAAAAATGAGGCTAAGTAATTGGCTTGAAAAATTATGCCTAAACTAACAAATTGCATTAACGGAACATTTCAGAAAAAATTTCACATTTATGGAAGTCTAAAAATCTCAAAAATTAAAATAACTTCTACTTAATATGAATGATTTCATTTTTGATCGTTATTATCCAACTATTTACTGCTCGATTTATGCAGTAGAATGCATAATTCTGGTAGTAATTATTAAATTCGAGCCTTATTAGATGATTGATACTTTTGTAATTACTGGACTTCCTGAGTTTTTTTTTTTCAATTACTAAATCATAGGATAATTACAAGTAAGAATTAAATGAAGTCAGCATTTATTATTGTTGTACATCTATTACTTACGGAAATGATGAAAATAATTTGACTTTTGCATTTTTTAACAGAGAAAGATGGAATCTCATTAACTCCTAAGAACTTCAGGCATAAACATAAACAAACGTGACTTTTAATGATTCATTGAAAAAAATCTTTTGGAATGGCAGGAAAGAGAAAATGTTGAGAAAGCCGAAATTTTGTGATATAAAAATTATTCACATGAACAGAAATTTTTTTTTTTTATAACTGACAGTTAGACTAACAAAGTCACTCTCGACTATACTTTGTTAATTTCCTGTCACCGATATTCTTTATTTTGTATGCTCGAATGTCACTTACAGTTATTACCTGCCAACATTTCCCGCCATGACATGCTCTCTGTCTTTCTTTTCATGTATAGCTAACGAATAGTCAAACAATCCTTTTTTTTCCATCGCTTCTTTCCTTCTCTTCATCACATCATACTGTCTAACTATGGGATTATCTTTCGTAGGTGTGCATGATCATTTTGTAACATATCACACGTATCTCTACCTGATTCCCTGTATCTTCCAATGCAGTTACGTTGGATACCGTATAGAGAGATATACCACGGAGATAAGTGAAAGATGGCTCTCCCAATTAAGACGTGTAACATGTATCTGCATGATCATTTTATGACGTATTACACGTATCTCTATCTGATTCCTTGTACCGTCCAGTGCAGTCTCAACGAACTGATTCGTGACCCTAACAATCGATAATTAGAAATTGGACTATTCATTTCTCGATTGCGTTAATTGTCAACATTTTCAGTCTTCCGTCGAATAAACCGTTTTCAGTTATAAATATTGAGGGATACCAAATCTGCTGCTCCCTGCTCCCCGCTTCCCCGCGAATCAAAAAAAAAAAAATATTTTTCATAACAATGGGAAAGAAAAAAACGAACTGGTTGTCCCGAGGATTACACTTTCCTGTGGATCGGGTTTTTTTTTCGCTCTCTTCATACATGTTGCAATTGAAACAAAAATGAGTAAGCTTGCAAATAGCACTTCCTGAAATACACCGTGAATTCATCTTAAACATTTCGAAACTTTCTTGGATTTCATTTGAAGTATTTCAAATTGATAAATTGAAAATCTTTTTTTCCAAAATGATTCCATCTCATTATTCAATCTTTAATAATTGTTAACAACCAAATTCCTCAATAAATCAGTCTAATTGCTCCTTCAAAATCTAATTCCTGCAAGTCTTCAGCGTTGAAAATCATTGCTACTCTACAATTTCTGGAAGTCTTCTGAAGAACAGAAATCAGTGTGTTTTTTTTTTCTGAATTTTAAAAATTTTACCGAAAAAAAGAGTGCAAAAATGACGGCTTAATTGGCCGTTATAGCGATAAAAGCATATATAATCAAATAATTTCAAATTTTAAACATTCAAAAAGTCTTATAGAGTTTGACTTCAATCAATGATTTCTATTTCCTAGATTGACTAAATAATTTTTATTACTTTAACGCGGTATGTGCTTTGTGATCAAAATGAAGTGCTTCACACTTTCATAAAGAAAATATTTCATTTTCACAAATTGTATTTTATATTCTAAAATATCGTCGAATAATCTTTTTTTAACATCCACAACAATGGCTATCAAAATCTGCTAAATGGATAAAAATTCCAAGTTGCTGTTGCATTTCTCAGGTGGTTTAGCAAGTTTTACTTTTATCTTACATACTATAAATGGATAAATTTTTTTTTTTTTTGGGATAAATTGAACGAGAGAAATTCATACACAGAATGTACTATTCTGAGGAAGCAATGAATAGCTTTCAACAAGCATTGCAAACAGAGACGAACCAGCCGCCCCCAAAGAATTTTATTGAAAAATGAATGGCAATGACAATGAATGGCTACAAATATTAATTTTTGCATAATTTCGGATAATGAAATTTGCTGTGTAAATTTTCATAAAAAATGAATAGAAATTCCAAGTTGCATCAAGATTTCCCAGTTATTTTAGCACTTTTTACTTTCTTTTGCATACCATAAATATTTTGAAATCAAGAATTTTGAAAATTTCGAACTTCAGATTTAGGACTAGCAATTCAATTATGCATGCCGTTTGAAATGTCATTACAGGAAAAAGAAATACATATTGTAAGGTATGTGATCAACAATTTAGATATGCAAACTATCCTGAAATAGCATGAAAATACATATCGGTGAAAAATCATACAAATGTAACGTATACAATCAAGCATTCAAACTGATCGATCATCTGAAAGTCCATGAAAGGACAAATACCGGTGAAAAATCACGCAAACGTGACATAAATGTTCAGATATCTCTGCGACTGATAACAGTAATTACAAATAATTTCATTTGCGGGATTATAAATAATTGTGATTTATATTATTCTTATGATTTATATTTCAATAAAATTTCTTATGATTTATATTATGTTTTTACTGCTTTTTTTTTTTAACCGCGTTAATGGTTTGCCCAAAAAATACAAATGTGACGGTCACGTATGCGGTGGAGCATTCACATAACGTGAAAAATCTACAGAGACACAAACAGACGTACAGGAATTACTGACTATTCAAATTACTCGAAATTTCAATTTGAAGAGATAAATGTTCAAAGATAGCAAAACATATCTCTGCCACACATATTTTAATAAAGCAAATTATTTCATCTGCAGGACAGCAAATTATTGTACTGTTGTAATTGAAATTATATTTATGCTGTTATTTTTACTATTTATACTTTGTTAACTATTTCCTGATTGAATGTCAGATATTGATGATGAAATTGAATGGAAAATTTTGATTTCTAACTCGATGGAACTTCATATTGTATTCATTTTTTTTTTTTTGTACAAATTTTCATATTTTAATCAAACTATACCAATATTCTAGTCATTATCAATTTTGTTTATTCGATTATAGTAATTTCTCATTTGTAATCATTTCGGTGATGATTACTTTTCAATAATTCAAAATTTTGATCCAATATATATTTGGTGAATTCGAATGAAAAACAATACCAAATGATAGAAAACGAAACATTCAATGTTTTGACACCTTTGAACAATAAGCATTTTTTTCAGTTTAATATGAAAATTTTATCATTTTTTTCTCTTTTTTTTTTAATTTGCTGTCACCAATTATGTTGGCTAATATTTGGTTAAAATGTAAATAATTTCCATTATTTATGCAATTTTAAATCAATCGATTTCTGTCATTCCTAAACATAACCATTTTCTCATGTTTTCATTTTTGCTGTTGCGAGAGCAAGATTTTGCTAAAGTTGAAATTTGAAAAACATATAAGAAATGAAATTTCGACAAAATTTGTCCAGCAAATTTATCAGTCTCAATAAAATTGATAATCTTGCAAATCTTTTCATGAATAGTGTAATGGAGTGAAGATCAAGATTTAGCACGCAAAAGCTTCAGTAAACAATACTGTATTTGAGGGTGTCTTTTTTTAAACATCCACAAATCAAAAATGGAATAATTTAAATTTTTTACTAATTCGGTAGTGTAATCTTTTGATGTAATCTTTTCAAAATTTAGATGCCCTCAAACATAATCATTCAATATAAAATATCAATAGTATTATGTTTGCGCACGACATTAACATGCACACACTATTAACTCACATTCCATAATTTATCAATTTTATAATCTGTAATAACTCTCACCCCTGACTGAATATCACAAGAGTGCTTATCTGAATATCACAAGAGTGCTTATCTGAATATCACAAGTAAACAAAATGGAAAATTCTTCGTTCATATTAGATGGTACAAGCCTGTCAATCATATAAATGCATCGTATCGCTTCAATTGTTTCAATCAAATTAATAATGTAAATAGTTAAAGATTAAAATCATTAAAGGTTATTTTGAAAGGTTAAAACTTGAAAATAGTTTTTAACAACTTATAAATGCCAATTCATTAATAAAATTGACATGAGCTTGCGGGAAATATTTATTCGATTTAAAAATGGGATCTTCGATTGTTTTTGTCGTTTTTTTTTGCGGGAGAAATTTTATTAATTTAATTAAATCAAAATTCTTTGTGTTTATTCGTTACTTTTTTCTGTTCTCTCTAATTGCTTATTTGTTTCAAAATTTTTGAACTGTTACAATATTTCGAATAATGTGGATCATAATTTGTCGCATCAACATATTGCTGAATATTTGCATATCAATGATTATTTCTGATTATTCCTATCAATTAGCGCTCTCATTACTTCACTATTTTAGGCAACGAAAATGCTGATCGACAATTGATCTTAACTAATTATTATCATATTTCATTCATTTCGTTATTTCACGGTTACTATTTTTGTTACTCATTCTATGGCTACTAATTAGAGCGAATAATTAAAATCAAATAGCATAACTTTTTTTGCAATGAACAATGATATATACATGGTATTATTTGTAAAATTTAGCTAATTTCTTATATTATCTCAGCTTAAAATTACTTTTACACCAATGATATCAATGTAGCAAATGATAAAGCAGTTAAGACGCAATTGACCCATTGAAATTTGTGGTATCGTAGAAATTTGTATCATTTCAAAACGCATTAAATGCACGTTTCTTATTTCAAGATATTCTATGGGATAGTTTTGAAATTATCTAATATTAAAAGGCATATAGATCGAGGGGAATAGTAAATAGGACCTTGTTAGCTTATTGAACTCCTTGGGATGCAATTTAATAGCTCACTTAAGCTTCTCAGCTTTCATTCTCTTTTTTTTTTTCATTCATCACTCGTTTTATTTTTTATTTGATTTGTTTGGTTTTTTCTTCTCATATTACGCATATCAAAAAAATATATGTATATTTATGCTAATGTTTTTTTTTTTTTTTGACAAGCAATATAAACAGATCAATTTTAATCTTCCCAATCGGTGATTTCATAATCACTTTCCATTCCCAGACTTGAGAGTGGTATTGGCTTCACCAAGTCACCTTTAATAACACGTACTCCACGTTTCGATGATCTGGTATAAACATGTGGTGAACGTATCGGCGCTGCCATACGACCCAAAATTTCCTGAGTATCCATGCTTTCTTGCATATAAAAAACTTGCACTCCTGAAAAAAAAAATATTTTCGAAATTTTGAACATGGTAAATTAAATTTGATTCTTTTAAAAAGTTTATAAGCTTTTTCTCCAAAAAAAAAAGAAATAATTTAAATTTAAACTATTCACATGTCATACAGGAATAATGTTGAAAACAATGAATTTGCCCTATAATGATAAATTTAATTAAATTTTTTGTGCGCAGCTCATTTATTTTCACTATTCGTTATCATAAAATTTGAAAAACAAAATTTTTGCAGTAAGTGAGAAAGTACTTCTAAGTTAATAAGTTGAAGTTTGATTGACAATTGAAAGAAAATAAAAATAAACAAATCAATTAAATTCTAGCAAACGATTGTGACAATTTTAACAATCCCTGAAATTCTCATAGAATTACAATGATTCTGGAAATCCTTGAATTATAAAAAAAAGCCATTGAATATTTTTGAAAATTTATAAAATTCAAACAAATAACCTGAATAAACATATCGGCGAAGTTTCCGTGTGCATTTGATCATTTTACGTGATGATTCTTCGATTGCAAAAATTGTTAAATTTCTAGAAGCAAGTGGAGTATGCGTTGAATTTTGCTCATTGGAACAATTTGTAACGATCATTTGATCAATTTCTGAGGTATCCGATGTGGAAACGCTATTTCGTGATGAATTTTTCCACATCTCATTTGTTAAACTTTCTAGGCCTACAATTTTTTTCATTTATTTTAAAATTTAGCAATAAATTTTATTATTAAATGACTTCTTCATTTGTTGTTTTTCATCTCGCGAGATGTTTTTTCGATTGCAAAAATTGTAAAATTTCTAGAAGCAAATGAAGTTTGCCTTCATTTTGCAATGAATCATTTGACCTTTTTGCGACTCAATAATTAGATTCATTCAATCATTACAACAAAATTTTTTAATTAAGCATCAAAAAATAATTTTTTAACTTAATAAAATTTATTTACTTCGATCAGATGAACTATCAATGCTATTTTTAGATCCCATATTGCTAATACTTCGTGAATTCAACCATGAAATTTTTCGTTGTTGTAATTTTCTTTCCGGTTCTAATTGTGACATACCAAGTTGTGCAAAATTTGGTATCCGATTTGCACTATGATGTATTCTGAAAAAAAAAAAAAAGAAAAGAAACTAATATTTTATCAATGACGTAATGTTGCTCGAAATTTCTGACGTAATTTTGCTCGAATTGAAGCAGAACATGAAATATGTGATTATTTGTAAAAAAAAAAAAATTATTTTGCGAGAGCATTCAAATGCTAAAAAAAAGAAAAAATTTCTATCAACAGTTTAATAAGCGAACAGAGCAAAATGAAATTGTAAATCTTCAGAGAAAAATAGTAATTATTAATTCGATACGTAATTTTTTTCACGTATTATATTTGAATACACGGAAAATTTTAGTATTCTATATTTTTGACGAGAATTTTTGTCGTTTAGATGAATGCATCAATAGGACTTTATCAAAACATTTAACATAGCATATTGCTCTCTCTCAAAAAAAAAAAGAAAATTTTCTGACTCGAATTATTTAAATCGAACTGTTTGATTCAACGTTAATTAGTTAAACAGATTTTTGATAACAATAACTATTTAAGTTTGATTTAGAAGATTCATGATAACGATAAACGTCTAAATTTGAATCAGGAAATTCACGGATAATGTAGGTTCCAGTTATTTCTCATTGTACAATATGTTTGCATCATAAATTACTTAAAGTTTCATTATCATTTTTAGCAATTGTTGATAATTATCATCTTTTCACGATGAAATTTCGATGTTGAAAGTAAAAAACCTTATAGAGAGAAATGTTTAAAGTAATAGAATTTTACCTAAGCAATCGAATATTGTGTGGCATTTTGAATTCGATGAATTGAAACAGCACAGCCGAGTTGTAATGTCGAAAGCCGAGACAATACAATTGATGTTTGTTTAAAAGTCGCATAAGCGATTCATCAATTTCGAGTGTTTCACCCAAGTGAAAAATATGTGGTGGAATATCCAAATCTTCCACTACCCAAAATTTTAATCATCAAAATAAAATTATCATAAAAATTGGCTTTTCAATTTGAAAGAAATGAAGTATAAAAGGATAAAAAAGTATCGAAAATGCAATTTTATACTGTTTAAATATTTTAAAAAATTTTTTTTGTACGTGTTTACTGATATTTCCTTCAACTGCCAAAAATTTAAACATCAATCTAATATTTGCCAAAAAAAAAATGGTCGTCGAGAAGGATACGGTAAATTTTTTGCAAAAATACAAATTATATTTGCCGGAAAAAAAAAATGGTCGTCGAGAAGGATACGATAAATTTATTGCAAAAAAAAAAAAAATGGTTGTAAATTGAAATAATTTTGCATAAATTTAAAAATAAATTGATAAATTAGTGTATTTGCAGCAAAACGGAGACCTGAAGTTTAGCAATTGCTTTACAGTATTCATCTCTTTTATCCTCTTTACCATATGTACAACCAATGGACATCCGTTTTAAAGTTCGATGCAATCGTTCACATAATGCATCAATTGTTTTTGATGAAATATATAAACCTATGAAAATTTTAATCATATATTTAAAAAATTTGCGCTAAATTTTATATAATGTAGTAGGATAAAATATATATGTGTTAATTAGAATATATAGCAAGACTAATGATGTATGTAAATAATTGAGTAAATACTTAAATAAATAGATTTGTATATATAGATATGCTTAAATAAATAGGTAGTTAATAGTAAACAAATTAGTTAACAGATAAACAGATCAGAGAGTTTTGTGGACCTTGATCAGTTTCTTATAAAAAAAAAAAAAAAAAATCGATAGACGAAAAAAAAACAAAATAATTGAGTAAGTAAAGACAAGCAAATAAATAGATTTCATAAAAATAAAAAAAAAAATAATTTCATGTATGAGTTCAACTCACTAATTTCCACATGTATCATTTATTTAGCAGTGGTTTTGTTCATACCAAAAAAAAAAATAAACAATCAAAATTATTTTGTTTGTGTATTTTTAAAAACATAGTAAAAATTTTAATTTTAATTTTTAAAAATAACTCTTACCAACAATTTGCAAATTAAGAATAGGTCCTCTTATTGAGTCAGCAAGAAAGCATGGAAAAACAGCTGTACATTGAGAACTGGATTGAGGAACTGTTGAATCGAGAACAAGAATGGATTCCAGTAGCGGAAAGGAAAATAAGGAATGCAATAAGCGACTAGCAGGCCTGAAAATAATTATCCATACGGCATTAAATTTTTGCTATC